GACGTACCGCGTTAAGCCTGGGGACAACTCCCTAGCCTGTGAGGAAGAGCTGCTTTTCCGCAGCCCCGTGAACAGGGAGGGGCGCATGCACACACACGGTTCATCTGGGAAGCGCTGCTCGTGCCTCGAGGTGTCTGCGGGGAAGGGGGGGTGGCGGAGAAGGAATCTGCTCCTTGGACCTCGTGGGCAATGCTCCTTGGATCCCCGTGCCGGGCAGCTGCTGGCTGCCCGTCCCGCTGGGAGCTTGGCCACCGTCGGCGCTTGGAAGCTGGAAGGAATGGAAATGGAAATTGCTGGGGAATCGTTATTTCTGTGGTTGTGATGCAGGAGACGCGAGCTGTGTCTGTAGGGGGGCAGGTCCAGGCCCATGGCTCTGGAATAAACAGCCAACACCTCGTGGAAAGCAAAGCCCTGACTCCTGGTGTTGCTACGCTCAGCTCTTTAAGCACGAGGCTGTAGGTTTTATAGTCAGGAAACTAAAAGTTCTATAAAATGATCCTTTTTGTTGTTGTTCAAAGCTGAATTTGCCTTGTGGTTTGTCCCATTTCTGACAACATTCGTTCCCAGGTCCCTAACCGCTGCCAGCTGAACCGTGGGAGCTGTTCGGTAGGAAATGCAACTAGAAATCAACCGCCCGTTCCCCGCGGGCGGTGCCGGCAGGGTCAGGGAGGAGAGCGGTGGCCTTGCACCCAGCTGTTCCGCCGTTCAAGGCCTCTCGACCACGCCGGGTGCTGTTCCTGGGAGGCAGCTTAAGGTTTTAAAGAAATAGCGCCAGTTCGTTGTACTTCTGATAAGGTGTTCGCTGTTTTGGGAACTTCGCAATAAATGCAATCTCGTTTTCTGACCAGCTGATGGGTCGTTCGTCCTTCATGCATTGGGAAACACCTTAAAACGTGGTTTTTTTTTTTTTTAAAAAAAAGAATAGCATGTCGAGAGCGTTTCTGATGTGAAACAGAATCCTGCAAGTTAGGCCGGTTTCTCTGGAGCAGGATGACGGCGCGCTGCCTGGAATCCACAGCACGGCTGCCAGAGGGGGCTGCCCCTCGAACCCCAATCTGGCGGGTGACGGTGCGCCCTCGCGCTTGGCCGGGAGGACCCAGCTAGCAAGGCCTTGCTGGAACTGGGTTGAAACGCGCTGGCTGGAGTCTCCCGCTCTAACGCCCTCGCCGTCCTCCCAAGGAGGTACTCAGATGCCGACGGATCGCACACGGCACGGGCCAGCTGGGTACCCCGGGCGCAGCGGGTGCGAACGAGCATTAACCCAGGTTTAACAAATCGTGACAGAACGCGCGCGCGTCCCCGAAGCGGTGACGCTTGAACGTCCCCTCCGAGGTGCCCCGAACTGTGACGTGCCTGGCGCGACTTCCTGCGGGGAAAGTCAAGAGCGCCGACGAGATGCTGGGGGAGAAAAGTGTTTCCTCTGCGATGGAAAGGCGTTTCCTCCTCCAGCACTGCTTAATTTCATTAATTGTTCCTGTTACAGACAGCTGCCAACTGCATGGCTCTGTACGTTGGTTCCACCCAAACACAACCTGGGAGCTTTATAAAACAAAAATTAAGACCATCTGGGTGTGATAAAAGTCTCTCTTAATTAAGAAAAGGTTAGGAGCTGTCAGAGTGAAGCAGAGCGTTAGGACCACAGCGATTATCGCAGAATCAGGAGAGGAGAGGGAACTTAACTACTTGAAGGCTTTATCCCTTTTCCCGTAAACAGGGAGAGCTTAATCGCCTTGAGCCTTGGCTCGCTCCTGCGATGGGACCCTGGGCCCAGCTGGCCATGCGTCGGAATCGGCGCAGCCCGCGTCTTCCGTCAATGCGTAACGGCAGCGTGCGCGCCGAGTGACGCGGGTGCCTTTTCCCTCCGCCTGCCAGGGAAACCTCCTGAGCCCCTGGGCGCTCACCCGCTGCCACCTTCCCGTGGCACCTGGACCTGCCCGTCCTGGGCAGAGAGGCAAAGGCTGTCTCTCCGACGTTACTGAATAAAGGTGTTTGCTTCTGCACCTCCCAGGAAAGCCCGTTAACGGCAACTGCGTTAGGTTAGTCAAGGAGCGCCGTGGTTCCAGTACGTTTGTGGAATTGGTGAGACGTGAAACGAACCACAGGGGTTG